CTGGTGACATCTTTTCATGAAATTAATGGTGGGGTGCTGGCCTCCATTCAACAAGTATAATATGTAATCTCCTGCTTCTTTCAGACGGTACTCATTTATCAACCTCAGAAAGGAAAAAGGTGAGTTACCTGACCGGGGTTCTAAACCTGAGAACTCTCAGTTCTGAATTCAGTGTAAAAACGACTTAGTAACTTGGTTACTGATGCATTTCATCAAGGTTGTGATTAAAAAAATGCGTCCTCCTTGTAATGCCGATGACCCCATTTGTTAGCCATTTCCTGATTTCACTTCTTCACTATCGTACATATCCTGGCTGTACGGAGATCTTGCCTGCACGAGTCTGAATACACGAACAAAACTATGTAAAGTTTAACCACTGTTACTTCTGCGGTGATGTTCCTGTTGAAAAAAGGCATTATCAAATGATTTCGTTCAAACTTCCAAAGAAGGATAACGATCACCGAAGTAAAGTGGAGAATAAGTTTTTGTTTTCTAGTCCGTCATATTCTAAATTACTGAACAGCATCTTCGGTACTTGATGGCAAGAGCAAAACTTCTGTCACTCAAGCTACTCCGATTTTTCAACCTCTACCGCAAACGTCAATAAGTGAAAAAAACAAAAACATAACGCCAGCAACTCCTCCTCTCGCGCCCGCCCGAACCGCAGTTCGTAGAGGTTGAAACGCAGAAACTCTAAACGCAAAACGAGAAACGATCACGTACCCCGTGTGAACGGCCGATCGAGCCAGATCGACGTTATCTGTGGTGAACTGTTCGTCGATCTTCAGATGGTTGCTGCTGGTAGTCAACGGCTGCTGTTGCGCCTTTTGAATAAGACTTTCCAACTGCATCTGGTCGGCTTCCAACGATCTGTCCATTGACAGTACCTCTTCCTTCACATCGCCTTTGCGCATTTCATTTTCGAACGAAGCTGACCCGGCCATGCCGACATCATCTGAAACAAGAGAGTAGCGATTAATCGAAGCATAAGCAACTCATAGCCACTATCTGAGGATGAGAACATTCAGCGCTAGGCTAAGAAATTATCTACCATTTTACCTTTTACGGAGGACAACTGGTCAATGAACCTCGTGTCATCGAGCACTAGCGACATAGTGAACAGCGGCACGCGCTGACTCAGAGTACAACAACGAAAGGAAACGATGCTACTTCAGAAGCAGGCTGGTCAGACGTTGCGTTAACTAACCACGGAAAGACGAACAGAGCCGAGTACCACATCGTCAACGCCTACTAAGGCGACAACGATACGACGATGTCGTTCCGTCAACACACTTATCATATGGCGAATCTTAAGCCGACAGCAAATAAAACAGCTGCGACGTTGTCCTGGTGTTCCTTAGCAGAGAAACGTTGTTTAAACCGAAAGAGAAGTGTCAAACGCGGTGATCAGGGACACCCAAACTAGTGGTAGTTCCGTCGCTTCACGGAGGA